GATTTCATATAATTATATAATACAAACACATTTTGTATTTCTTGGTACAAAAGAATTCTTTGTTCTCAAACTGGTCGCCGGTGCTTTGCTGTAGCTAAGAAAACCTCATCTGTTTATAAAGCCAACATCTAAATGCTTTGTTCGTCAAAGCGTGAGTTCGATCGAAAGAATGTTGATAAATTTGAACTTTACGATAAAAAAAAAACAACAATAAAACGCTAACAAGTTGTGGTATTTTGGTATGGAATTAAGTTCGATTAGAAAAAAAGGCATTTAAGTTATAAGCAACTAATGGAGATATCGCTTAAGTTGAGTTATTGCTTACACGCTTTTCCATTGCAGAAATATTGAACAATGATTTGATTGTGAATTAAAGATAAATAAGAATATTTTTTATTACTCAAAAAAAAAAAAAAATAAATAAATAAATAAATAAAAAATATTAATGAATAAAAAAATAATAATACTATTTTTACTTCTGCCAAGCATTTCAAACTGTTGCCCAGTGTGTATTTTTTATTTATAAAAAAATATTCCACATGTCTGTAAAATAGCTGCGGGAATTTCATAATGGTAGCAATCATTGCCCATTATCTTGGCCACTATGTGTCAGAGCACTCTTTTCTTTCTTTCTCGTAATCTTTTCGTTTTTTTTTCTGTCTTCAAATAAAAGTGAAATGTGTCCGACCACTTGCTGCAAGCTGTTTCGTCGTGTCTTAATTTAGCAACAAGAATTCCCTCAAAATAAAATATCTTAAAAATATACGCACATTGACATTAATACGAAAATTTTGGTACATATAGAAGTATTTTATGTTAGTTGGAAAAAAAATGAAATCGCCAGACAACATACATTTTTATACCCTCAGCCATATGGCAATATGGGGTATATGTATCATTTTATACGCTAAAAAGGTGCCTGATCAATATAACGGGGTTGGAGCCCAAATCCATTGTACGAAATCAGTTTAAGGACATTTGTCTATGCATCTCTCCGACTTACTGTCCGTCTTTGCGCACAATAACGCTCGAAGAGAGTTCCCGATTTGGTCCAAACTTGGTATTTTTATACCCTCAGCCATGTGGCTACAGAGGGTATACAGGGTGAGATAAAAACAAGTAAAAAACATTAAGTTCGGCCGGGCCAAACTTTTAATACCCTCCACCTTAGGGTAAAGGAAACATTAGAAGAAATGTGGCAAAAACCATTGAAATTCCGAATATCGGGAGGTACCGTTATATGGGGGCTATACCAAATCGTGGACCTACACATGCAATGTTTCGCCAAAGGAGCTAGAACCCATTATGACCTAGAAATACCAATTTTCAGACAAATCCGTGAAAAAATGTGGAAAAAATCATCAAATTACCGAATATAGGGAAGTACCGTTATATGGGGGCTATAACAAAACGTGGACCTATAATTACAATAACTCGCCACATGAATGGGGCCCATTATGATCTACAACTACCAATTTTCAGAGAAATTTATGAAAAAATGTGTCAAAAATCATCAAAATACCGAATATTGGGAGGTACCGTTATATGGCAACTCTATCAAAACGTGGACCTATACATACAATGTTTCGCCACACGAACTAGGACCCATTATGACCTACAAATACCAATTTTTAGACAAATCAGTGAAAAAATGTGGCAAAAACCATCAAAATACCGAGTATCGGGAGGTACCGTTATATGGGGGCTATACCAAATCATGGAACCATACATGCAATGTTTTGCCACACGCACAGGGACCCGTTATGACCTACAAATACCAATTTTCAGACAAATCCGTATAAAAATGTGACATAAATCATCAAAATACCGAATATCGGAAGGTACTGTTATATGGGGACTATACCAGAACGTGGACCGATATATCTCATTTTCACTACCAACCATCCTAGACACAATACAAATTGCTCTGCTACATTTTGGCGCTCTACGTCAAATAATGTGGGCTGTAACGTGATTTCAACAGACGGACAGACAGACAGACGGAATCGACTTAGAATTTTACGCTGATTATGAATATATAAACTTTATGGGGTCTACGACGAATATTTAAGGATGTTACAAACGGAATGACAAAGTTAATATACCCTCCTTTCCAAGGTGGAGGGTATAAAAACTGCAACAAAGTCAAACGCCAAAAGAAAAATATGTCGGAAATAGCATCGAATTTTAGACTAAGTTTAGATTTGTTCGAATTGGTCACCTTTGTCACGAATCATGGCCTTCAAACGGCCATCAAAACCGTCACACGCTGCCCGAATGTTGCTATGCGGTAGTTTGGCTCATTCCCATTGCTTGAGGTGATCGACATTTTCGTATTTTTTAGTGCCAACCTTGCTATACAAAATACTCCAGACACAATATTCCAACGGATGGGTATCCGGAGATTTTGGTGGTCATTGTGCGCTGGAAATAAAGCGAGAAACCTCATTTTGTAGCCATTCTTGGGTGGCGTGTGCTAAGTCCTGTTGGAATGTCCGAGGTCGGCGGCCAAAATGTTTGCGTGCCCAAGGCTTTAATAAACCCTCCAGAATATTTTCGCGATAATATTCGGCATTTATTCTCATGCCACGGTCGATTAATACGAGCGGAGAGCGACCATCGGCTGTTCTGGCGGCCCACGCCATCACCATGGCCGGTGTTTGAGTTCAGGTGGCCTGCCAAAGGTGCACATTTTCAGCTGAGCTCTTTGGCAAGTAAACACGATCATTTTGTTTGTTTACAAACTGCTGGACAACGAATGTTTTCTCATCGGAGAAAACCAAATTCGGCAGTTCATTACTTTTGGCCAAGCGAAGCAACTCTTTAGCTCTTTTGAGTCAATTTTCTTTCTGTAGCGGTGTAAGTTCTTGCACTTTTTGAAATTTCAATGGCTTTACCCCGAGCTCATTTTTCAATATTTGCCGAATGGAATATTATGATATGTTCTGCTCATGAGCCATTTTTCGGCCACTGCGAAGCGGGTTTCGACCAAGTCGCTTCTTTATTTTTTGAACCATTTCTGCTGATGTTGCTGTTTTCTTCCGTCCACTTCCTTGACGTCGGGCTACGCTATCAGTATCACGGTAACGAGCGATGGTACGAGACATAAAAAAAATTATTCACATTTAAATGCTGGAGTGCTCTAACGATAGCCACTTGTGGTTTTCCAGCCAAATATAAAAAAAACCCACTGTCACACTTGAATGTCATCACTAAAAACTTGTTTTTCTGGAAAATTCTCACCAAAATGCTTTTGTACGCTTGTAAACAATATAATGAGCTATCACTGGAATAATTTTAACAGCTGTCGGACGAGTGACTTCGAAATGACAGCAGTCTGAAATTGGTTGCAGTTTTTTCATTTCACCCTATATATCAATTGATACGATACGATGATATTCCGATGAGGAACGTTTTGGTCCTCATCGGAATAACGGTTTAAGACACTAGGTCTCTTTAGACCAAATCCGTTTCAGGACATTTGGAGTCGATCTAGCGATATTTCTCTGTCTGGCTGTTGCACGACGAAGGTCTGGTGTTAAGATGGAATATATCGGTCCACTCCTTCTGGTACCTCCTTTTTTTTGAAAGGTTTGACTTTTTGCGAGGGGTACCAGAAGGAGTGGACCGATATATTCCATATATATTCTGTAGAGAAAGGGAAGCCATGATCCAATTTTGCCGTATCGTTGCAAATCCTAATATTTTCGTTAGTTCTAGGTCAGGTGCAAAAATGGATAATATCGGCCTACTCCATCAAGTTAATCCCCTACAAAGAGCCAACATTTTGAATTATTATTTCACACGTCCTCATAATTTCATAAACCTAAGATCTATTATTAAGACGGAATATATCGGTACACTCATTCTGGTACCTCTCCCACAAAAGGTCTTTTATAAAGATGGTAGAGATCGGACCATTTCTAACACAAGATCTGTGGTAAAGATGCTATATATCTGCGAAGCCCTTCTGGTATCTCACTCACAAAGGTCACAATTTTCTTTCAATACTTTTATCTGTCATAAATAGTCAGCGATTCTTTACTACTTGCCACATCTACATCTGTCGGTAAGGCCGGACTTGTTCTATTGAATTTTAAAAAGAATTCTTACAAAATTGAAGACATTTTGTGAATTTCCCAAGAAGAGAATAAATCATCCAACCGAACAAATAATATTTGGGTTATTTGACTGCAGTGGCTACTGCAAAATAGGTCAGCAAAAGACAATGTGAATGCGGGTATAACAATAAAGAGAAAAATACAAATTTTACTTCATGGAGGCCGGAAAGTAAGAAGTGGTGTCACCAAACATCGGAAAACTGAACAAAAAACAACAACCCCACACAAGAGAATTACCAGCAAATCAAGAAAAACAAAAACAATGTGGAAATAAAGCAAATCGTTTACAAGCGGCAACAGCAGCAGCAGCAGCCACCATCACTATTTAGCACATTGGCCCAAGAGACGGGCAGTCCGGCACACATTCCGTCATCAGCAACCAGCCAACCAACTTGTCAATATGGCCAACACTTTGGCAATAAATGATCATCACCATTGGCGCTGATGATGAAATTGTATTGAAAAAAGTACAAAAACAAAAAATTTCACACACTCACACACACCGACCAACCAACTGGCAGTGAGGCCGCAGCAGACCGACCGATAACAAAATGTGAAAGTTTTCTTTTCTTTGAAACTGGGGGCCACCAGCACACCACACCACACCGTACCATGCTATGACGCTATTTTGTGGACATGACAAAAAATACAAAATAAATACAAAATACACAAAATTTTGTATTTTTTGGCACTCTCCACAACAAAAAAAATTGAAACTGAAAATGAAAACAAAACAGAAATTGGGGCCTCACCCCTCTTTTTTTCTTCTGTCATCCAAATGTCGTTTTTCTATTCTTTCAAAATTAATTTTTATTTTTACTTTTTTTTTCAATTTGGAAAGAAAATATTGTTAATTTTATTTTCGTTGTTTCGTTACAGCAAAACGCGTGGCCTACAAATTGCCGCAGTGAGTGTGAATAATGAGGATGGTTCCATCACTGAAACGCCGCCACCGCCACTTCCCAGGGCAAATGTGACAAATATTTCAGAATAAAGAAAAAAATTGCAAACAATTTTGAAAAAGCAAATGTTTGCTTACTATTTTTAGTGCTTTTTTAAATATTGGCAATTAAAATAAAAATTCTTAAGACGCCGCAAAATTTTCCTGAAAATTAGCAACACGTGCCTGGTCGCCGTTAGTGTCAGCTAAATTTTTCCGCGTTAGACGAGACGAGTGTCGTAAAAATATTTTTTTTTTTTCTCAACGTTATGTTTGAAGATCTACATATTTCGAGATCATAATTTCGAAGGTGGTTCGCGCGTAATCCGCGTATTTTTTGTTTTGTTTTGAAAATTGAAATTTCTTTGCAATTTTGAAAAATTTTGCTCCCTGTTCATTGTTAAACTTTCGTAAAAAATGGGCTTCTCAACGGCCCTTCAAGGCCGTGCGGCATTCGAGGCCTTAATTGCCCGCCAAGATGTCGAGCTGCGTCTGATGGATATCATGAAGCGTACTATCCAGCTGAAGGCCAAATATGACAAGGAATATGCCGTTGGACTAGCTGCTGTGGCACAACAGGGTTTGAAGATCGATCGAGCCGATGACATGCAAGGTGAGTAATTGATAATATTACGCCAAATTTTTTAAAGAAAACCAACTCAAAGATTTCTAAGGGCTTTCAATGGATAAATCTCCTTGGGATTTTCTAAGTGAAAAAATCTCCTAAAGATCTTCTGTATAATAATACCAGTTCATGGTATTCTACATCAGAAGAAGAAAACCTTCTGTATGAGAACACCATACATAAAGTATGAGAAGACCATCTCGTGAGCTTCTGTATAAAAAGACCAACTTCTTCTGTATGAGAAGACTACCTCGTTGTCTTCTGTATGAGAAGTTACCTCGTCGTCTTCTGTATGGAAAGACCACCTAGTTGTATTCTGTATGAGAAGACCAGCTCAAGGTCTTCTATATAAGAATATCAGCTCATCTAAGTCTTATTTTAAGAGGACCAACTTATGGTCTTCTATATAAGAAGATCACCTCCAGGTGTCATATATAAGAAGGCCAACTCATGGTCCTCTATATAAGAAGAGGTCTTCTATATAAGAAGGCCATCATGAGGTAATATATATAAAAATACCACCTTGAGGTCTTCTACTTAAGAGGACTTCTATATACAGGGTGAGATGAAAAAACTGCAACCAACTTCAGACTGCTGTCATTTCTATGCCACTTATCCGACAGCTGTTAAAACTATTCCAGTGACAGCTCATTATAATGTTTACAAGCGAACAAAAGCATTTTGGTGAGATTTTTCCAGAAAAAAAGTTATTCGTGATGGAATTCGTGATAGTGCGATTTGGCTCGTACGATCGCTCGTAACCGTGATACTGGTAGCGGAGCCCGATTTCAAGAAAGTGGACGAAAGAAAACACCAACATCAACAGAAATGGTTCGAAAAGTAAAAAAACGATTTGATCGAAACTCGCGTCGCAGTGGCCGAAAAATGGCTCGTGAGCTGAACATATCGCAATATTCCATTAGGCAAATATTAAAAAATGAGATCGGGATAAAACCATTGAAATTCCAAAACGTGCAAGAACTTATACCGCAACCGAAAGAAAATAAACTCAAAAGAGCTAAAGAGTTGTTTCGCTTGGCCGAAAGTAGTGAACTGCCGAATTTGGTATTCTCCGATGAGAAAACATTCGTTGCCCAGCAAACAAAATTATCGTGTTTACTTGCCAAAGAGGTCAGCTGAAAATGTGCATCTTCGGTTGGCCCCCAGAACTCAAGCGCCAGTCATGATGTTGGTGTGGGCCGCCATGACGGCCGATGACAAATATTATCGCGAAAATATTCTGGAGGGTGTATTAATGCCTTGGACACGCAAACATTTTGGCTGCAGACCTTGGACATTCCAAAAGTGCCATGGTGCACTCAGCACAAAATGAGGTTCCTCGCTTTATTTCCAGCGCAAAATGGCCACTAAAATCTCCGGATACCAATCCATTGGATTATTGTGTCTGGAGCATTTTGGGAAGCTAGGTTGGCACTAAAAATACCAAATTGTCCATCACCTCAAGCAAGCGCTTCAACGGGAATGGGCCAAAATACCGCAGATCATCGAGAAGCGTGTAACGATTTCATTAGCCGTTTGAAGGCTATAATTCGTGCCAAAGGTGATCAATTGGAACAAATCTAAACTTATTCTAAAATTTGATTCTATTTCCGATATTTTTGCTTGCAGGGAGAAGGAAGCTAGATAGACCCATAGTTACTTTTGAGGATATTCATAGAATCGCTTTCTGACTCGATTTATGCATGTCAGTCCGTCCGTCCATGTATTTTTGTGAACAAAATCGCATTTATTATCCGATTGAGATGACATTTTGCAAACAATATTTGTTTGACCCAAGGACAACCCCTATTGAAATTGGTAATAATCGGATCAGATTTAGATGTAGCTCCCATATATCTTCAATCGATTTCGGGTTAATTGTGCACCAAATAGCCAATGACATGAATTTTGGCCTATCCGACCGAATTCAGTCGAGAAGCAAGTACATTAAATTTGGTTAAAATTGGTTCAGATGTAGAAATAGCTATAGCCCCCATATATATGTTTCATCCGATTTGGTGTTTAAGTCCCTCACATTCGTAATATGCATTCGATAACAATGATATTTGGTACCAGATATCTTTAGAGCCTGGAAATATCTATGCAATTTTTATCGAGATCGGCTAAGATTGGCATATTGCTTTATATACATCCTTAACCCTTTATTGTGCAAATAATGACTAATATCAGTCCCATATTTATATATTTTTATACCCTCCACCTTGGGTATATTAACTTTGTCATTCCGTTTGTAACATCCTTAAATATTCGTCGTAGACCCCATAAATCAGCATAAAATTCTAAGCCGATTTAACGATGTCCGTCCGTCTGTCTGTCTTTTGAAATCACGATACAGCCCACATTATTTCACGTCGAGCGCCACAATTTAGCAGAGCAATTTGTATTGTGCCTAGGATGGTTGGTTTTGAAAATGAGATATATCGGTCCACGTTCTGGCATAGTCCCCATATAACGGAACCTCCCGATATTGGGTATTTTGATGACTTATGCCACATTTTTTCACGGATTTGTCTGAAAATTGGTATTTGTAGGTCATAACGGGTCCCTGTACGTGTGCCAAAACGTTGCATGTATAGGTCCACGTTTTGGCATAGCCCCCATATAATGGTACCTCCCGATATTCGATATTTTGATTATTTTTGCCACATTTTTGAACGGATTTGTCTAAAAATTGGTATTTGTGGGTCATTATGGGTCCTAGTTCGTGTGGCGAAACATTGTATGTATAGGTCCACCTTTGTGTATAGTCTCCATATAACGGTAACTCCCAATATTCGGTATTTTGATGATTTTTGACACATTTTTTCACGAATTTCTCTGAAAATTGGTATTTGTAGGTCATAATGGGTTCTAGCTCTGTTGGCGAAACATTGCATGTGTAGGTCCACGATTTGGTATAACGATACCTCCTAATATTCGGCATTTTAATGGTTGTTGTCACATTTCTTCTAATGTTTCCTTTATCCTAAGGTGGAGGATATTAAAAGTTTGGCCCGGCCGAACTTAATGTTTTTTTACTTGTTTAATATAATCCTTTTCGAAGTGATATCACTCTATAGCAGGGCAAGGCAGAGAGCCTCAAAAATTTTTTGTGTTTGTATGTGTTTTGAAATAACAAAATATTGCAAGTGTTTTTTTGCCTCTCTTTACAGAGTGAGAAATAATTGGTTATTTTTATATTTTCAATTTATAATTTTTCGGTTTTAAAAACAACTTCGTTGTAAAAATTATTATTTTGATCAGACAATTCGGAGATATATTTGCGCAGTTATTTCAATTATGTTTAATTTTAAAATAAAAAAATATATATAAAATAAAATTTTATATAATTTTTATTTAAAAAAATATTAAACACAAATAATAATTTCGGACTTAACATCCTAACCATCTAAATTGATCCTTTAAAAATTAATACCGATTACCACAGGCTGACATACGCAAATAGTTGTAGAATTGTATGCTGATCAGAAACGCATATCCTGCGTTGGGTCCTAAAATATTATGTCTATGAATTACAAACAGAATGACAAACATCACATCCTGTTATTTTCCCTAACATTGACTAAGAACGTACATATAATTTCAGAGAAATCAAGGGATATGAAAATGTCCATTAATTTGGAAGGACAACAAATTTGTCTTACAATATGAAATAAATTCCTATTCCTGAATTCGTATGTAAATATCGTCAAATAAAATTCAATTAAAAAAAGAAAAATCTTAAAATATATAATTTTTACAAATTCGGAAATATTTGTTCCGAATATGTAGTAAGATATATTTGTGCTCCAATATTTCTTACGGTGTATTCATAAAAATATCCGACAGCACCTTCCTCAACGACTGCTCGAACAAAACTAAATATTCTCCCAAAACCATTTTGACAGAAAATTCAAAACAATTTATTTTTTACAATTGTGTTGGTGAACACACAGATATCCCAAGGGCTACTCTTTGCCTAGCCTTGCTCTATAGCAATGTTATTTGGTATAAAAGGTTCTCCGCCAAATTTAGTGTAAATCGATTCAGAATTGTATATGCCTCCCCTATATTAGTTCCCTCTATAACTGCTCTAAAGCCAAATGTTGATAGGTGGTATGATCTTCTTTAAAAAAAATTCTTTTGTTACGGCAGCTTTACTAAATATACATAGTGGTGTAGGGTATCATACTTTTGAGGTTTCCTTACTGCTTTTCTTTTATTAAAATTTGTTTTTAAACCTTTTAATTTAAATTTACCATAACCTCCAATAAATATTTATTTCCGCCGTTTCACAAATTCATGTTTATCCCAAGTGATATTTCAATTATTTAAGACCGTGCGAAAAGTACTTTAACCTTTTTTATTTGGATCCACGTTATGTGTATGCCGGGCTATTCGTTGCGGCTGTTATGTGCGGTAATGGTTTGCCAGTCAGTCATAATTAATTTATTTAACGCATTTTTGCAGGGAGGGACTCTATTGATTTTTTTGCAATGCAAAAACCTCTATCTGGTTCCAGCGACGACGACGACAACGACGGTTCACAAAACATTGTTGATCTTTGGCAACGCCACCGCAACACGCACTGCCTCCCGCCCGGCTGTCTGGATGCCTGACTGTCCAACTCCTGCTTGGCTACAAAAGTGAAAGTGTTGTTAATCCATGATCCCCACAAAATAATGAATGGTCAACGTCAAGAGACCTGACAATGTCTGCATGCGTGTTGTTTTTGTGATTTCGGTGTTGTTGTTGTTGTTTTTGCTGGTGTTTCCAATTCATTACTCGGAACGAATCTCAACTATGGCGACATTTATTGGCAAATGGGTAGTTGTTGTTGTTGTCGTTGTTGCAGATATTTACTCTGACCATTCGTTGCCATGGTTCATGAATGAAATGTCCAGTTAAATAATTTGTTTCATTATTGGCGATAAGTAACAACTAAACAACAACAGCAACAACAACAACATTTTATATTGCTGGTTACT